CACAGGGAATGATGGTCCTGATGAGATTTCCTTTCTCCTTCTGTGGCATCATTGCTCCCATGATGAAAGGCATTCACGTAACAGCCTCCAAAAATATCATTCCTCACAGTGTGATGTGACACCTGTGAATTATATATTTTGTGGTCCATGTGCTTCCATTTTCCCCCCAATTTAATCTGCCACAAAAGTTCGACAAAGTAGCAAAAAAACAAAACAAAACAAAACAAAACAAAACCCACAACAACAAAAACACTGTGCTTATTTTGCAGGCCCCAGGAACTGTTGGGAAAGATAAAAGTTCAAGTCCACCAGCCAACCTCAAGTTGGTCTTGACTTAGCCAGGACAGGTTGACGCTGGAGCAAGTTGGATGACTTCGTGTACCCAGGAAACCTTCTTTTCTGCAAGTGCCCCTTGCTTATTGGTCAGAAGCAGTTGCAACCTTTGCAGCCTGAAACTGAACTTGCAGGCAAAGAAGTCACAAAGTCAAAGGGGGCAAAGAGAGAAAGCGGGAAGAGAATAAGGTGGCTTCTTGGCACCAGGCCTGCAAGAATCCATCATTCCCTTCTTTTCCTCCTGAGTTATTTTATTAGGTCGGTGCAAAACTGATAGCAGTTTTTGCCACTAAAAATAATGGCAAAGACTGAAATAACTTTTGCACCTAATAGCTGGCGATAGTAAAGCCAAGTGGTACTATTAGGCAAGAACTTGAAGATAAAGGGAGGAAGGACAGATTGAGATCCATCATCCTATTGCAACTATGTCAGATATCCTTCATGCTTCTCTCCAGAGCTACTCTCCATCCTTTTCCTCCCAGTTGCATATCCCAGCAGAAAGACCTATAGGGATAGCTATACGTTCACCTGCTTCCTGGCTTTAGGTTGGGATGAACCAATAGGAGGCAACTTAAGGACACTTCCTGACGGATGGAAAGAGAGAGAGGCGTACTTATTTTCCCATCTCTTTCCCTACTGGGCTGGGGTTTGATAGAGGCTACATTATCCTCGAATCCAGTTGCTATTAGGCATATCTCTCATAGGATTATAGCTATCCTTGCATTCCATTAACCACTTCCTCCTCTTGCCTCTACAGACCTTATGGTGACAATTGCTTCCTCCTCTGTTACTAGCCCTGGGGTCATTCACCAAACCTTGTCATTCCTTATTGGTTTCCCTTATCTCTTCACAATCTTTGTAAATATTTTGGTAACCTCTCTTTAACTGCCCTTTCTGAGTGTGCCACCTATCTCCAGCCAGAAAGGAAAGTCTTGATGCTATACCTGTATCCTCACAAATATTTCATCCTACTTGATATGGTTTGGCTATGTCCCCTCTGAAATCTCATTTTGAATTGTAGCTCCCATAATTCCCACATGTTGTGGGAGAGATCCCATGGGAGATAATTGAATCATGAAGGTGGTTTCTCCCATACTGTTCTCATGGTAGTGAATAAGTCTCACAAGAGCTGATGGTTTTATAAGGGGTTTCCCCTTTTCGGTTGGCTCCAATTCTGTCTTGTCTGCCACCATGTAAGATGTGCCTTTCGCCTTCTGCCATGATTGTGAGGCTTCCCCAGCCATGTGGAACTGTGAATCTATTAAGCCTCTTTTTCTTTATAAATTACCCAGTCTTCAGAATGTCTTTATCAGCAGCGTGACAAGGGACTAATATACTACCTATTACGATTGGAAGACTTCTCCTGTGGTCCTATGTTTAGGTGCCCTTCTTAATGGCAGAGATGTGGTCACCTCCAGTGCCTGACACATGGAGGTATCAGGTAGGTAGATGGATGAATAGAGGGTAAATCTGGAGAACCAACTTGGGGCCATCTATTACAAACTGAATGTTTTGCTTTCAGTTTGCTTAAGAAAGCAAATTAAAGACCCATAAGGAACACTTCCAATAGGAGAAGAGGTGTTGAATATACTAAATATCGTAGTCTATTTATAGTAACAAAGAAGGGAATCTCTACCCATGAATGTCACAGAAAAATCAAGCCTGAAAAGAGCCATTTGGTGTGGCAATGAAAGGCACTGGTGACCTTTGAGACAGTGTCAGTGAAGTAAGTGTTTCTAGGGTGATAAGAAAATGAGTCAGGAGATACAGCTGTCACACAGTGAGGATGCCCAGGTTGGAGCAAGTAGACATCTCATATTAACAGTGCTTTTCAGTTCAGCAAGAACCAACTAGAATGTACAATGTATATAAATCTATTTCTAAAAGTAACAAATATTACAGTATACCTAGGAATAACTTTAACCAATAAGAAGATTGGTTAAAGTTACTAAATTGGCCGGGCGCGGTCGCTCAAGCCTGTAATCCCAGCACTTTGGGAGGCTGAGGCGGGTGGATCACGAGGTCAAGAGATCGAGACCATCCTGGTCAACATGGTGAAACCCCGTCTCTACCAAAAATACAAAAAATTAGCTGGGCATGGTGGTGTGTGCCTGTAATCCCAGCTACTCAGGAGGCTGAGGCAGGAGAATTGCCTGAACCCAGGAGGCGGAGGTTGAGGTGAGCCGAGATCGCGCCATTGCACTCCAGCCTGGGTAACATGAGTGAAACTCCGTCTCAAAAAAAAAAAAAAAAGTTACTAAATTTACTCATTTGAAAATTTTACTAAATGTAATAAAATAAGATATATATAAATGGCAGAGAAGAACATATCTTTGAGTTGGAAGTTAGAATGTTAGGAAATTGTTAGGAAATACTTTCTTTCTTTCTTCCTTTTCTTTCTTTCCTTCCTTCCTTCTCTCTCTTTCTTTTTCTTTTCTTCCTTCTTTCCTATTTCCTTCCTTTCTTCCCTCCTTCCTTCCCTGCTTTCCTCCCTCCCTCCCTTCCTTCCTTCCTTCCTTGCCTTTTTTGTTGTTGTTGTTGTTGGTATCTCACTCTGTCACCCAGGCTGAAGTGGAGTGGAGTGATCTTAGATCACTGCAACCTTGAACTTGGGCTCAAGGGATCTTTCTTTTTCAGCCTTCCGAGTAACTGGGACTGTAGTCATGCACTATCATGCATGACTAATTTTCTTAACTTTTGTAGAGATGAGGTCTCCCTATGTTGCCCAAGCAGTTCCAAAACTCCTGGGCTCAAGTGATTCCCCCGTCTCAGCTTCCCTAAGTGCTGGGATTACAGGCATGAGCCACTGTACCCATTCACTGCCTTTTTAATGTACAGGTTTAATGTAATTTCAAATGGGATTTTTTTTTCTGTAACACAACAAAAGCTTCTTAAATCAACCCAGAAGAAAACACAGGTTAGAAAACTTAGAAAGTTTTTTAAAAGAAAAGAAAGAAAAAGGGTTCCCTTCTTTGATATTAAGCTAGAAAATAAAGCAATAATCATTAAAGTGGCATGAAGACTGGGAGGAAATTTTAAATTCAAGTTGGGAGGTGAGGCTGTAAAATACCTGTTTTCTCAAATAATCATCCAGTTTTCCAAACATAAATAAAAATAAGCTCCACTTTTGAAATTTTAGAAATTCCCTTCTCGTGCAGGGAAGCCAATGACTAATTTTTGCACAACATCTCATGTGAATGATGGAGCAGCTCCTTCTCACACGGAGCCCAGGTGTCCTCTGAGGGCCACATGGTTGATCACCACTCAGCAAGAGCACATCACTCTGCCCACGTCTGTGGTTAAGTTCAGCGCAAGCTACGAAGGCTCGATGGTGGTGGCAAAACAAAAGAGCCGAGGTTGTAAATAGACTCTGAGCTGCCTTCCCACCTTCCTTCATACAAATGAGGACATAATTTTCTCCAGGGTTACAGTGGAAACTTATGGGTTTACAGATAACCAGCATTATTCTTTCAGAAATAGAGTGGTACACACAATGGAGACACAAACTCCAGGACAGATGGTGACCGCAGCAAAATGCAAACTCATGCCTTGTCAACTCATAAAGCTCCTCATCATCTCAGCAGCCCCAGCCCAGAATGGAGAACCTTCCACCACCCCCCACAAGCCAAAGAGCCAGGCATGTCCTGTGGCGTATCTTCCACTGGGCAGGTATTTGTTTGGAGGTTTCTGCAAAGAAGCCAGAGCCTTCCTGCCGGTGCGCGTCTCAGGGTGATGCGACGTTATGCTAGAGTATCTGGAAGTCAACAAAACTCACAGACAATCCGGAAATTGCAGCCATAAGCTTAATAGTGAGCAATATTCCGGGTTTACTCCTGCCCGACTTCACTGTACTCCTGGCTGGTGGGGAGCCACCTCTCAGAATCCGGTGTGATAATAAAGGTAAATATCTGAAAAATAGGGCTTGTCCTTCAGCTATAAAGACTCACTGACAAACTCCAATAATTAAGAAGGTGAAATAATGGAACAGGAAAGGACAGGCAAGATCAACGGAACTCAAGAGCTTGTTAGGAAATATCGCCAAAAGAAGAGACAGCGCCATTTTGGCTACAATTATTGGTGATAATTATTTCAATTGACAAATGCCTATTAGACATAAAGCACTATAATAAGCACTTTAATTATTACATGTATACAAAATTTATGCTAAATATATGTGTGCTGTATATATATATTTAAATTCACTTAATTCACATGTATATGTGTACATATATACATACACACCTATATATTTAATTCATATATACATTAAATTAATATATATGATATTTTTAAAATTACTCAAATGACTCTTGGTGTTAACTCACTTTTTTTTTTTTTTGAGACAAGGTCTGACTCTGTCATCCAGGCTGGAGTGCAGTGGCATGATCTCAGCTCACTGAAACCTCTGCCTCCTGGGACCAAATGATTCTCCTGCCTCAGCCTCCTAAGCAGTTGGGATTATAGGCATTTGCCACCACGCCCAGCTAATTGTGTATGTGTATTTTTAGTAGAGACTGGGGTATGCCATGTTACTCAGGCTAGTGTCAAACTCCTGAGCTTAGGTGATCTGCCCACTTTAGCCTCCCAAAGTGCTGGGATTACAGGCGTGAGCCACTGTGCTGGGCCTCTTGGTGTTAACTGTTAATATCTCCCAGCCCTGTTCCCACCTCTCCATCTCTTCTGCCACCATCCAGATGCACGCTCCAGCCACCACTTGTTTGAGTTACTGCAGGCAACTCCTAGCACCATCTTCAGAGTGAGGTTTCCAACATGCAGATCTGAACACTGCTCGCTTGAAATTCATTACTGCCTTCCTGCCACCTACGGAAAATAATCCCAAAGTTTTCATGTAATATGCAAAGCTGCTTATTAGTGGAGTCCTTGCCCGGCCTCATCCTCCGCTGCATCCTTTGTTTAAGGTACCCCAGTCTTCTTCTGATTCTTCTAAAGAGCTGCTGCCCTACAGGGCCACTGCCAGTCTTCCTTGCGACTCAACAGAGCCGTGTAAATCCTTTCTGGACACTGTCCAACCCAGAAAGTCAGAGGCTGGTGAAAATCTCGACCACAGCATTTCTGACAGCACAGTCTATGTGCCCTTGACTGCTCACTGCATGAGCAGTGGCCTCTTGTGAACAGGAAGGCATTTTTGTGTCTTGCACATAGCAAACACCTCGTAAATATCATACATACAATTGAACGGCTGAATGACCAAAGTGAGTGAACAAGTGAACGAGTCCATTATAAACTGCACTTGGCCAAATAAAGTACCATGTTCTAGTGTGGATACAGAAATCTCCTGGTAACATGTCAGAAGTTGGTAAGTGCTGTTTCATTAACTCATGTCAAATCATCATTGATTCCCTCATTCATATTTCAGCATGATGATCTTGATATCTGTTGGCAACTGAATTATCATGACGATCTTGACATTTTCTCTTCTGCATTTTCAGCACTTCCCTGACATGATGTCCAAAGGTTATTAATATCTTAAATTAAGTTGTAAGGGTTCAACTGTATCGGCTGCTGCTTGGTGGAAGAGAATGGAGTAAAATGTTCTCTAAGTATAAGGACAATTAGAACACCTGTGGTCCAACTTAGAATCTTGGAAGAAAGGAGAGATCAGCTAGCCCCACACCCCATTTGGTGCAGAAATTCCAGAGACATGGCCACCCAGCTTGTACTGTATTCTCCCAGGGACAAAGAGTCCACCCCCTTGTGATACACTGCATTCCTGGTTTACAGTTTAAATAAATAAAATTTCAAAAATGCATCCCTTTGTTTCTTTACCCAATGATCTTATTTTTTTCTTCTACATCAATCATGCAGACAATTACACTTTCATGTAGTTTTCAAATATTGCAATACATGATTCAAGACATATCATTATCATGTAATTTTCAAATATTCCAAGACATTATCAAGAAATATCATCAACCTGTCCTTTTATCTTCTTTTTTCCTGGCTAAACACACCACTCCTTCAGCCACCTTAATAGGACCATGTTTTCATACTTTCCACAGTGTCTCAGTCAGCTAGGGGTGCTGTAACAAAATGCCATAGACAGAGAGGCTTAAACATCAGACCTTTATGTCTCATAGTTCTAGGGGCTGGGAAGTCCAAGATCAAGGTGACGGCGGATTTGTTTCTTGGTGAGGACTCTCTTCCTGGCTTGCAAAGGGCCTCCTTCTTGCTGCATCCTCACATGACAGAGAGAGGAAGAGCTCATGTCTCTTCCACTCCTCTAAGGGTTCTGATCCCATTGTAAGAGTTTTGCCTTCATGACCTCAAATAAACCTGATTACCTCCCAAAGGCCTCATCTCCAAATACCATCACATTGAGGCTTAGGGCTTCGAAATATGAATTTCAGAGTGGACACAACTTGGTTTATAACACATAGTGATCACTGTAAAATTCTGTCCTAGAAGACAGAACAGGGACTAAGAGGTTTCTAGATCCATGCTTCCCTCAGAGCCTCGCATACTGGAGGTAACTTTTTGCCCATTAACTGAACTGTTCATGTAGCATTTGTAGTTCCAAAAGATATGAATTATTGTTGGACGCTTAAAGTGCCTTTGGAGCAAACTGTCCATAAATTTTCAAACTGCAGTTTTATTCAAAATGACATGTCTTACATATATTATGAACTTTATACTTCCTGGAATCGCTTTACAAAGGTTATTTAATTTGGTCCTCAAAATAGCTTTATCAACAGTCAGCAGATAAGAAAATTGAGGCCGGACATGGTGGTTTACACCTGTAATCCTAGCACTTTGGGAGGCAGAGGCAGGAGGATTGCTTGAGGCTAGAAGTTTGAGACCAGCCTGGGCAACATAATGAGACCTGTCTCTACAAAAATAACTAAAGAAAATTAGCCAGCCATGATGGCACACATCTGTAGTCCCAGCTAGTCTTAGGAGACTGACCTGAGAGAACTGCTTGAGCCCAGGAGGTTGAGGCAGCAGGAAGCCATGATTGTGGCAATGCACTCCAGCCTGGGTGTCAAAGTAAAGCTCTGCCTCACACACACACAAAGAGGAGGAAGGAAAGGAAGGAGGGAGGGAGGGAGGGAGGGAGGGGCTGGGTGTGGTGGCTCATGCCTGTAATTCCAGCATTTTTGGAGGCTGAGGCCAGCAGATCGCTTGAAGTCAGGAGTTCAAGACCAGCCTGGCCAATATGGTGAAACCCCATCTCCACTAAAAATATAAAAATTAACCAGGTGTGGTGGTTCACACCTGTAATCCCAGCTACACAAGAGGCTGAGGTGGGAGAATTGCTTGGACCTGGGAGGTGGAGGTGGCAATGAACTGAGACTGCACCACTGCATTCCAGCCTGGGTGACAGAGCAAGACACTGTCTCAAAAAGAGAAAGGAAGGAAAGAAGGAAGAGAAAGAGGGAGGGAAATTGAAGCTCAGAGACAATGAAGAATGTTCCTAAGTGTTAGATCTAGAACCTGGGTCTCTGTATTTCAGGCCCCCAAGCATTCCTTAAGGCAATGCTCTCTCAGATGTCATGCGGCTGTGATGGAGAGGATCTTAAAGGCCTGACTCTCACTCTCAGCACCGAACAAACATTGCCACAAACACCCCCTGTGTGAGGAGGCCATAAACATGTATGTCTGTCTCGGACGGGCTCTGGCTGCTGATATGCCCAAGAGTGTCTGTGCAAAGACTATTTCTAACAAAATAAAAAAGAGTTTCAGAACCTTCAGAACTTTGTCAGAGCAGGTGGATGAAAGGTTAATTGTGTTACTTAGCCTCCTAGCACTTACAAAGCTGCGCAAGAGGAAAAAAAGCTGATCTAGGAGCAGGTTAAGAAATATGCTGAATTGAAGAAGCACTCTCCCTGCCGAGACCTAAGAAATTTGTTGGCATCAAATGTGTGCTTGACCCCGTAAAACCAGGCCATGTGCTGCGTCTGCTGGGCACCTCTCAGTTTCAACAACTTTTGGAGAAAATTCTCTTTTCCTTTATGCTCCAAGCACTCCTTCTAGAATTTTTATTCCTAATCAGAGGGGCTAAAGAGGAGGGACAGAGTGGGACACTAAGCTTCATCGATTCTGCCAAAAGCATGTAAATTTCTGGTATCACATGGTTACATCCTCAGTGATTAGAAATTTTGAGTGACAACAATTCTGGTCATATCACAGACGGTATATTATGAAATCAGAAGGAAAGGAAAGAGAAGGCAGAACAAAAATGGATCACCCTATTAAATGTTGCTACGTTCCTCCCCTCCTCAAAATCATCAGTAATACACATCCCACCATCACCACCATCATCTCCAATTAATTTATAGAATCTGAAAGAATAAAACATCTGTTCTAAAAGAGGTATTCAGAAGCACTATCAATTTTAAACACACATCCAATTCTTCATAAAAAGACCCTCTTGGCAAGATCCCATTTACTTGGATGTAAATTTCTTCCTTTAAGAACTTATCTAAGGCAGGTCCTGGTGGCTCACTCCTATAATCTCAGTGCTTTGGGAGGTCAAGGCGGGAGGATTGCCTGAGCCCAGGAGTTCAAGACCAGCCTGGGCAACATAGCAAGACTCCATCTGTACAATTGTTTTCTTTTCTTTCTTTTTTTTTTTTTTTTTTCAAAATTATCTGGGCACAGCAGCACATAACTGTATTTCCAGCTACTTGGGAGGCTGTAGCAGAAGGATTACTTGAGCCCAGGAGGTCGAGGCTGAAGTGAGCTATGATCGTGCCACTGCACTCCAGCTGGGTGATAAAGCAAGACACTATCTCAATTTTTTTAAAAATATCTGAGGTGGCACATTATATTTTTGTTGAGCAATTACATACTGTTTGCCCTCTTCCCATGCATACTCTTCATCTTCACGCCACTCACGTTGGACTTGGTCATTCACTGAGCTAAGTGTACTTCCCCACCCCACTGACTTGGTCATGAGACTGGCATTAGCCAACAAAATACTAGGGATGTCTTATCAGTAGAGACTTGAAATGAGCTTGCATTGCTGCTTCTAGCCTCTTCATCCTGACATCATCATAACAATATGCTTTGGGACGCCCACTGATCCAAGAAGCATGAGAGACACATGAAACAGTCAGATCCAATCTGTGGCTTAGAACCAAGCCCCACTATACTCAACCCAGAGCAGCCAAGCCTTGGCTTACCCAAAGATATGTGAGAGTAAGAAAGGATTCAAGAATCGCTCATTTACACATTTATGGCCTGAGTAACAAAGGATGTTGAACGTTCGTGCCGTTGATGGAGATAGAGAAGGGGAAAATGAAGACTTGGGTTGTGAAGGGACATAACACAGAGTGAAGAGTTTGGTTGGGACACACAAAATTGGAGATGCCTATTAGACATCCAAATGAAGCTGGCAAGTACACGGGAGTTCAGGAAAGAAGTCAGAATTGGAGACATAAAACTGGGATTCACCAGTGTCTAAATGGAGTTTAAAGACAAGTTCCTTGAGGAGAACACCTGGGCAGTGGAAATACACAAACAGAAAGGGGTCTGAATATGGAGCCCTGGACACACCAACTGGTAGGAGTCAGAAAGAGAAATGCTAAGCAAAGAAAACACAAGAATGCAGAAGGAGACCCTGGAAATGTAGACTCCAAGAGTGGACCTTTGCATTCGGTAAAGCCAATGCATTGGCCATGGTCACAGCACCAATTTGAGCAAACCAAAACCTGGGGTAGGCTCAAGAGAGAATGAGAGGCAAAGAACGGAATGCAGTAGAAAGAGGCAATTTTCCCAAAAAGTCTGCTGTAAGAGGCAGATGAATGTGGACCTGCTTCTATTCTAGTGATCATGCTAGAAAAACAATTACCATGGCAGAAAAAAATAAGAAAGAAAAAACAAAAATAGCTCAGCAAGCTGCGGATGTGGTTCAGACATTAGCATAACACCAAGGAACACAGAAACATACATCCCTGGGCCTACTTCGTCCTGGTCGGCCCTGGTCAGCTCGATGACCCTGGACAGATCCCTTCCACAAAACACTCACGCATACAACGGGGATGTGGACTTAAGACCCCTGGAGCTCTTGGGATCCATGCTCCTCTCTGCAACTCCATACTGAATTTATTATTCTTGGGAGGAGACAATCTGGGAGCCTTTAGGGGTTTCATGAATTACAGAACTTGAGCATTCTAAGAGGTCCCAAGGTTAAAATGCTGGTTTCCATCTCCAAAGAGCTGCAGGGAATGGATATGGGATGCCTCAGTTGCTCTTCTTTCTGGTGACAGACGGACCATAAACAAGAATGTAGAATCACATGACTGTGTCTCCAGCATCAGTAGATTTCCAAAGGCCTTCATTATCTAGGTTCCCTGATTCCCTGCGACCCATGCAGATGAAAAAATGTGAGGTCCCATTGCCTGATTGAAAATTCAAAGGCTGGGAGTAGTGGCTTATGCCTTTAATCCCAGCACCTTGGGGGGCCAATGTGGGAAGATCACATGAGGTCAAGAGTTTGAGACCAGTCTGGGCAACATGTTGAGATCCCATCTTAACAAAGAATACAAAAAGACTAGTCTGTGGTCCTAGCTACTCGGGAGGCTGAGGTGGGAGGATCAATTGAGCCTGGGAGGACAAGGCTACAGTGAGCTGTGATTACACCATTGCACTCCAGCCTGGGCCACAGAGTGAGATCCTGTCCCCCCAAAAATAGTGAATAATAAAAACTCAAGGCACCACAGCATCACAGAAAAACAGAAGAAAGAAAGGAAGAAACCAAATTCTTCTTTATCTAAATGGACCCAGATATATAAATATAAAGATACTAACTTAGGATATACCCAACAGATGTACAAGTGGTAAAATCCAACTTCTTCGTAAATTAATAAATTCAAAAGACCCAAAATAATTCCCCAAATAAATATGAAGTGACCAAATACACAGAAACCCAGACTGTTGGGTCATCCAAGGTCACTCCAGCCCTCCACCTTGTGGCCAGTTCAGAATCCAGCTTTAGAATAAACACGTGCAGAGGTCCACACTCACCCATGACCCCCCAGAGCAATCTGCCCCATTGGGCTCACATCCTAAGGTAACATCTTTATACTGCTATATCTGGGTCCTGGCCTTAAACAATCTTCCCGCCTTGGCCTCCAAAAGCGCTGGGATTATAGGCATGAGTCACCATGCCCAGCCTTTGA